ACCAGAGTTATAAGTTAACACAAGACCAGAGTTATAAGTTAACCAAAGACCAGAGTTATAAGTTAACACAAGACCAGAGTTATAAGTTAACCAAAGACCAGAGTTCTAAGTTAACACAGGACCGGCGGTCTAAGTTAACCCGAGATAAATAGTCTCTGTTAATACACGATCAGTGGTCTCAGTTAACACACAATCAGAGGTCTCAGTTAACACAAGATCAATGGTCTCTGTTAACACAAGATTAATGATCCCTGTTAACACAAGATCGATGGTCTCCGTTTAGACACGGCCAGTGGTATCAGTTAACACACAATCAGAGATCTCAGTTAACACAAGATCAATTATCTCTATTGACACAAGATCAATGGTATCTGTTAACACAAGATCGATGGTCTCAGTTAACACTGTCAGAGATCTCAGTTAACACAAGATCAATGGTCTTAGTTAACACAAGATCAGTGGTCTCAGTAAACACAAGATCGATAGTCTTTGTTAACACAAGATCAATGGTATCTGTTAACACAAGATCGATGGTCTCAGTTTACACGATCAGAGATCTCAGTTAACAGGATCAGATATCTCAGTTAACACCAGATCAGAGATCTCATTTTACACGATCAGAGATATCAGTTAACACACAATCAGAGGTCTCAGTTAACACACGATCAGTGGTCTAAGTTAACGCAAGATCTTCGGTCTCTGTTAACACACGATCAGTGGTCTCAGTTAACACACGATCAGTGGTCTAAGTTAACACACAATCAGTGGTCTAAGTTAACAAACAATCAGTGGTCTCAGTTAACACACGATCAGTGGTCTAAGTTAACACACAATCAGTGGTCTCAGTTAACACACAATCAGAGGTCTCAGTTAACACAAGATCATTGGTCTAAGTTAACACAATATCTTCGGTCTCTGTTAACACACGATCAGTGGTCTCAGTTAACACACAATCAGTGGTCTAAGTTAACACAAGATCTTCGATCTCTGTTAACACAAGATCTTCAGTCTCTGTTAACACACGATCAGCGGTTTCCCCTCTTCACACCAGATTGGCGGTCTAGTCAGTTAACTCCAGATCAGCCACTACAAAAACACAAATCTAACACTCCAAATAGATAAATATTTGTCTGAACTCTAATATTTAAATCAAGCTCTGGGGGAAAAGACTGCAATGTAGAAACTTGCAACGTACATTTGTCACTTGACAAAACCCTTAATTGTACATTTTAAAACATGAACAACCGCTAAAACCCTGGGTGTGCCGTGTGCCCATTGTTATACAAGACCAATCAAAATAACTAGACCTAAATCCTCTATAAAACTCCGTATGAGGTGTTTCGTTTAGAGTGGACTACTTAACGCCTACGAATATCCCTCCCCTACACACCATTCAATTTACATACTCTTCTCTACGGATCACTTCGCGTCTAAATCTGTCACCATTTCCGCATCGCCGTCAAAGTTTAGTTTTTAGCTGAGCGGACAGATTCGTAACAAAAGCTGGATTGTACTACTTCTATATATCGGAATGGCTGATTCAGCGGTATTACTTCACAAAGACATCGGTGGACCTACATAGACGCCTCTACCTGGTCGGTGTATAACATACGCCCAGAAGTTTACCTGTCACACGATCTATGTATAAACCCTACGGAGCGTGAACTATTTGGTGGTATGTTGGAGTACATTCCGATGTTCTCTCCCTCTAACCACCGTACACTCCTATCAGTTATACGGCTCCGACATCACCGTCACAATCAATACTAGTCTCCTAACAGTGGGCCGATTCTAAGACGGCAGACAGCCGCCACCACCTCGGAACTCACCCCGGCTAAAATTGTACCATTACGCAATTGCAATTTAAATGGCTTGTCCAAAGTATGACAAAGAGTTTGTTAGTAACTAAAATTGTGTTAGTATCGTCAACTAAATACTAATGAAAATGGACGGCAAAAATATTATTTAAAACAATAATAAACGTCTGAGATAACAGATTGTACCAGTCTGTAGTCAATAAAGGAATACCACGGAGTGATGTAGTGACAGGGTCATTGCAATGTCTAACATTTCAATGGTGATACTAGTGATAAATGACCTCGGGTTAGTCCCTGCCTCCCCTGCCAACACGGACAGGCTGGACTGATCCGGCATCTATGGAAGGTGAAGGGCTAGGCACTATTATTGGTGATTCACACTGGTTGGTGAGTGTTGATCGTTTTGGCATCCTGTTCGGCAGCACACTGTAGCAGAGGCTATTGTCTGGAGACTTACATAAACGTAACAAAACAAGACAGGAATGATAATGGCGATACATTTCTTGAAATGAATTCAATACTAGTTAACGGATTAACCAAACAATGAAACTCATACATCAATATTCATTTGGCATCGAACAAAACAACCAGACAATGGAAATAGGTGGTAAAATTGGGCTAGCATAAATGTACTATATATCCCCCCCCCTCCCCCCCCAAAAAAAAACCCACTCTTAGAACCTTTCCTTTAGTCCATGCTTTTTCCCCGTTTGGTTTACAAATACCGTCAATGTTGAACATAGCTTTAAACTGGAATGTCTTTTCTGGCAAAAAAAACCCCTTGTGTCAATGAGGACACGCCCATTTTGCCAAGTGGCCGTTGTAAACCTTTCTTACAATAACTAGTTAGTACACAACATTGCTTTACACCGACAGAAATGACATGTGTCCAGTCCAACAACAAAACACCAAACACTACACGAAACACGTCAGCTACCTCCATCTGTTGGACTCTGTCTTAGATTTTAGATTTTGGATATTTACAAATCATATCAAACTCTTTTGTAAAGGGAATCCACGCCAATCGTTCGACAGGCTGTAAAATAGTACACGTTTTGGCAAGAAGATGCAAACTGTAAGACAAAGAAACCAAACATTATCTACCTCCCTAGTTAAATATACCGTGTACTATCTTAAAATAGAAACTGTTTCTAATCATAAACAGACTGTTTTTGGAGGTAATAAGATATAAACTGTCTCTTATTTTCAACCGACGGCTTTTACATATAATCAAATATTAACTGATTCTAATGTTTAAGATATTGTTTTTTGAGAAAGGTAAACAATCTTCTCTTAATAAAAAACGTTTGGCGAACTTGTACAATCAAAAATCATTTGAAGAGAAAAAAAACTTATAAATCCCAATGATTTACGGGTTTACAGAAAGTATATACCACTTAGTGAAATCTAGCAGTTGGAGTACTAACAGTACATTATGGAAATACAATTCGATGGAATGATGATTATATATACACTTTGTCAAAATATAGGCATTCGATGTGACAAATGGACTGGATTTCCCGTATGTCTGACATTTCACAAATCCTACGAAACCAACATTAATGATGCATGACTTCTACAAAACAAACGTGTTCCTATGAAGATGAAATATGATACAGCTGGAACTGCACTGCCTCCTGTTTTGTAACTGTGATGTTTGGGCGTGGTCATGTTTACCAAGTCTGACCGCGCCCCCAAACATCACAACAATCAAAATACACAACCATCATTAAGGGATGAACACGCTATTGGTATCAAAATATAAAATCTGTTCAATGATATGACCAGTTATGTCGTATAAAAATCTTCTATTCTACAGCACCGTTCGCCTTTTTGTTTCGCATCTTCTATCCTATTTTTTCGCCGACTTTGAGAAGTGTAAGCCTTTGCCCAGTTAAATCATTAATGCATGAACATTTTAGGCAAATCTTGTCAGTATTTGAGTAGTTTGGTTTTCAAATGTTTCTAATATTCCCATTTCCAGCTGATTAGAACACTAAATTGTTTCTGATTAATTGTCTTGCTAGTATATTGATGTTGACAGCTGACCACCGAAAGTGTCGCCTGGACAAAGACGGCGTCCTTGACAAAAGGTAAAACCTCAGCACTACTGATCCAATGTTACACAACACATTGAACACACTTGTGTATCAGTCCAGACCTCCCAGACACTCAGCGAAGAAAACATCTTTGACACAGTCGCATTGTTAGTGTACACACAGACGGACAACATACCACGTATCACCAAACAAAGTAGAACTTGAAGTCGATCTTTTCAAAAACATACGTTTACAAATAAATAAATCCAGTACGTTTACAGACACACAGAGAAGACTGAAAGTCAGTCATGGCCGAAGCTACGCCTGCGATGGCTCAGACTTGACCATCATGGCGTCCATGTGATGGCGATGAGGGGGGCTGAACATGAGGGGCGGCGTTAACACTTTGATACGGTTGGCATCGGCAAACCTCTGGAGAGCGTCATATTTGTCCTTGAGCGACCCAAGCTCAGTTTTGACTCCTTCGTTTTCCCGCCTCAATCTGTGGACTTCCGCACGAAGGTGATCCTTCTCATACTCCAACTCTTCTTTCTGTGATAACCTCTTCTCGCGACAATTTGCAGCATAACCACGATTCTTAAGAGTTCGTCTCCGCTGTTTGAGCTTAACTACCTCCTCCCGCGGCATGCCCTTCAATATTCTATTCAGTTCCTTGACCGTCATGGCAACCAACTCGTCATCAGATAACTGGGAATTGTGGGATACCACTACTGGCACCCTGTTGGCCCGCTCAGTCTCCGACTTGACCAGTGACATGAAAATCTACAAATAGAAACAATACAGACATGAACTGGTGAACGAGATGAAAAACGTTATTCAATGTTACTGTCATGATTAATTCAATTCAAATTGATAAAGACGACCAATCGTGTGTAGAAACAACCTGTTACGTCATATGACAGTGTGAAGGACGAACATGTTTTGAATGTATTTCCGGTTTTAATAAAAAGTTATTGTACGTGAAACGTTAACACCAATGTACGTGAAACGTTAATATATGTGTACGTGAACACACAAATAGTGAAACAATTACGCTCATGTACGTGAAACGTTCAGATCGTGTACGAGAAACGTTTACATCCATGTACGTGAAATGACTATGTTGACATCCATGTACGTGAAACGTTGACACCCATGCACGTGAAACGTTTACATCCAAGTACGTGAAACATTTACGTTCAATCATGTACGTGAAACGTTCGGTGTACGTGAAACGTTGACACCCATGTACGGGTTACGTTGACACCTATGAACGTGAAACGTTGACACCCGTGTACGTGAAACGTTACATCCAAGTACGTGAAACGTTGACACCCATGTACGTGAAACGTTGACACCCATGTATGTGAAACGTTGAAACCCAAGTACGTGAAACGTTTACATCCAAGTACGTGAAATATTTACGTTCATGTACGTGAAACGTTCACATGAAGATGAACAGTTGATGTAGTGGGTTTTCTGTGTCATTTCGATTGCTTTTATTCAATCAGGTACGATATCATATCATCCATGTACGTCAAACGTTTATATCCGTGTACGTGAAACATGGGGAACATGTGATGTAGATGTACGTCAGTGTCATGTACTTGAATCATTTCGGTTGTTTTTATTCAAACAGGGACAATATTAAATTATTAAGATAACTTTGTTTTAAACCGTTTTTATTTTTATATTGATCTGTGTGGTGTAAATGTGGTGTACAGTATGTTGTGTAAAATGATCAACAGTCTGACTTCCTGGTATCCGAAGTCTGAACAAAATGTAATGTGTATGTATGTATAATATTTTTTTAGTGTCAAAATATTGTCTTATGTCGTAAATACTAAATTAAGAACTTCCTGGTGACATGTACAAGTCTGAGCCAGTACCCGACGTAATGCGCACGCAATACATGTTTTATCGTATGGCTACGGGGCAAATCACCTGACTGACGCAATATCTATATATATTCTAATTACAGCTGTTTAATAGATAAAGAAAACGTCTTTTCTTGGGATATGTCTTGTCAGGAAAACCAGGTTGGTGTGATTCATCTTTCACCTTGCCTTTACATTGTGCTACAGGATATATAAATAGTAATAACAACACGTAGAATCTGACAATCATCAGACGAGGACGTAAACAAATTCCGGGAATACCAAGTGATTTATTTTACATGTCAAACCACGATACCATAAACAACGTCCCCGTAGTTCATCTTGTAACGTGTATAATATTACTGTAACAGGATCAAGCTCAAATTTAAACATTTGAATTTTAAATGCTTTTCATGTCTTTGCAATATGCACTAAACGAGATTTACGGCTTGTTGACGTGTCTGTGAATATCAGTTTAGTGAATTTTAGTCTATAAGCGGTGTTTTCTTCCCACCAATACAAATAAAGCTGCCAATATCGCAAAAGAAATGCCGGGTATTCAAAAATATAGTTCAATACTTTTTAAAGCGTGTTATATTTTCATATTTCCAAATCATAGAGGTAATGGCTGGGAATCAATTGCGCAGTTTTATGAATCGACTCGGTGTAAATACAAGAGGCTGCCAAATACGCAGATCTAAACATACACAGGTGCTCAGTATTTTTGGATGATGCCCAATATCAGCTGATGATGGCAACCGTTACCGGTCACGTTTTTCTCACCAGAATGTGGTCCTGTTGCCACAGCCACCTAACAACGACCCTCCTTTGATTCTGTCATAGCGTGGTTGGTAACCAGTATTTCATAACAAATAACAATAAACATAACGCTCACCCGAGTTCCCTTTAAATCCTACCTATAATTAGCGCCAGAGTACACCTGTATCTAGAAGCTTCATGTTATGTTTTTATATTGTTGATACACAGTTTTCCTTCGCGCCGTGGGAGAGATGCCAATAGCATGGACCGTTGACCTTAATCTACAGGGGTTATTTACGCTTGTATATACCTCCTGTGTCTCGTGAGTTATATATACCGCAATGTCACCAGGAATGTGCTAGCTACAACGTTTATTTATATACACAGTAATGGACATCGATCGGTAGAAATACTGCTGATCGCGGGACAATTCGCCAATAGTTCACTGCGCAGCGTACCTGTCTGAGGAATAAACTCCTCAGCGTTTAGGTTTTCAAAGTAACCGTCGACATTTCTGTCATTTAGTCCAAAGTAGTGGCGGGGACTAAGCGCATGTGTGGTACACGCGTGATCGGCTAGAACATTAATTATTATTCATCACTGTGAGAAGACAAAGGAAATCATGATTAACATAATTTCTAAACTGTTGCTGATAAAATAAAGAAAACCCCACCAGAAACAAAATCATGATTCTTCTCACGTGTTTAGTTTGAAGGTGAATGATTTGTTCAAATTTTCCATTTTTGACGTTCTGGATTTTAATTAGTTAAGGAGCTTTTCAAAAATTGTTGCATTTTAATTAACATAATCGTCAATAGAAATATTTCCCCAAGACAAAACAGTATTTAACAGGCACTAGTATCAAAGAGCACCTGTTAAAGAAAAATGAAACCTATTGTTCCATCACGGCAGGGGCATTCCTTCACACCAACATTGTAATAATGTATTACACATCTTCTCCCCGGAGACTTGGCCCAGCCACAGTATACAATCCGAAAATGGAACGGCTGGTGACTCATACGGATGAATAAGACAACACGAGCCGGGGGGAAAAGCTCATGATATTGATTGATTTTTGTGTGTATCAGAACTGATGATCAAACAGGTTTTTTCGCCATTATTCCCGCCATTATTCCCTTTTAAATCCAACGTTTATTAATTGAAATATGAATAGATACATGTTGTGTATCTAACATGTCCTCATAATCAAGTGTTCAATTTCTTCATTTCAAACATCAAAATGAAAAATTCAAAATATTGATTTTCTACAACAATGGCAGTTTCATTTTTGTTAATAATTTATCAATCTAAGCCTACACAGTACATCTGTTTGGCTAAAAAAGGGAAAAAAATCAAAACAGGTCGACAAAAATATGATTTAAAATTAGAAATATATATTAATATTAATATTATAATTATGCCAATATCCAGATATTTTTTTATTATGTAATATATAGATTTATACAAAGTAGATTCTATTCATTTATGAAATGTGTAAGAGTAACTTTATATTACCGATTAAACTATTCTTATATTTTGTTAAAGAAAAAGTTGAAAAAGCTTACAAATTCACGGATAATTTACGGGTCATTTTTGGAGGGAAAATACCTGTAAATGGTTGGTAGGTATGTGGCTATAACCAGTGTATTTGTCTTAAGTGTGTCAAAGGAATTTCATAAAAAAAAAATTAAAAGAAGAATAGAGATATTTGGTTAAAAACTAATAGGAATATAAAATTTTGTATCAGTGTATTAGGGCAATATGATCAAATGAATCGCATTTTCGTTTTGTTTACGAGAAAACTCTTTCTGCGCAGAAAGCTCACAAAAGCGTCACGTGGACCATATACAATGGATTCAGGTCAACATATATTCCAACACAGCACGTAAACAAACCATCAAACAGCAAAATTAGACAAATAAAGAATAGAATTAATAATATTTCATCAAATAATAACTGTATAGTTAACTTAAAGTGAAGTGACTGCTCAGACAAACACACCAACAGGATTAATGAATGTCAACACAAACGTAAACAAAGCTAGCACGCCATGGACTCGTAGTACAACCGTACAGCGTGGTGACCGACATACGAACGATACTCACCTTTTTACTCATTTTCTTGTCCTTCTTTCAAAACAGAATTCACAAATGTTTTAAACGTATTCCTTAGAATAATCCACTGAAATAATATCCAACTTCTAGATTCGCAGTCCGTGTGAAAACTTGTAGAATTGTTTCTACGTAGTAAAAATGCGACTCGGCAGTTCTCGGCTCGTTGCGTATTTTGCGCCTGTGGACTTCGTTTCTGTTCGATATTGTGACGCAGTGCAATGTGATGACTCAGCACGAACCGAATGGCCCCGCCATATTCTGATGAATCAGCAACAGAGTTTCACAACAATCACACCACAAAGACTCGCCAATCCCATGGGTACCCAGTAAACACTACCCGTAGACTCAGAAAGACTGCTCAACAGTTTATTTGGGGACAAGCTTTCCTATCGAATCACTACGGGGACAGTTACCATACAATGGCGGCTTTGTTAGCGTGTAAACAAAGACAGGCGATCTTATTGCGTAGTAGGATTTAGAGGGCGCTGTTATCGCTAGTCCGCCAAATATACAGCGATAGGCTTATGCAACAAAACAACAACCCACGCGTTTTTCACCCTGTGTGTTTCACCTAGCTAGACTTTGACTGTTACATCAAAATTGAATACTTCCGAATGTACGGCGTGATATGATACAGGATACTAAGAAAGGCATCCAACCCTAACTTGTACTCTCACGAGTACGTTTCTCAGTAGGAACGCATCAGACAGACCCCACGTGCACTGGGTGAACCAAAACAAAGGCGCCACAACAGTACATGAACTAGGCCTACATGTATACATCGTAAACTCGTTGTTGCTGTCCGTTTACCCAGAAACTGTATACCAATAATAATGTACTGTAGGGGTTAATATATATATATATGTATATCATCATTTAATAGACTTACCAGGAACGTGTATTGGAATATATTCAAGAATAATTATACATCAGACTGCATTAGTTGTCATCTTAATATATTTTCGTGGATTTTTTAAAAATAAATCGATATAAACAGAGACGTATACGTCTCTGATATAAATAAAAAAAAAATAGTGTGAGAACACTCTTCAAGTTTATGAAGCCATAGGACCTACATATATTATATATATTATTTTCACTTAAATCTGTTTAAAATCAGTGACTTTTGCACTTTACAAACGAGCGAATTTTCTGACAGTTGATATCTCGACACTCGAGTTCGACGGGAGACAATAAGTTCGCGTAACTGATCCATTCCTTTCAGTAACCTATCCCCTCTAGTTCGGGTAGGGATCGAGGGGTCACCCCGTGGGTACCCTCCCGTGTAACACACGAGTCCAGACTTATTGTTTGGGATAATCGTGTGATGATCGTACAGATTGTACTTTGTACTAGACAATGAATCCCTTAGCCTTAGGAAGTAAGTATTTTTGCTTGATAACCAAGGTCCTGGTAGTAAGTAATGACTTGTTACTCTAAATTCGGTCAAGGCAGTGGCCACTTTGTCGCTTTCAATACAAGTATGTTTTCTAGGACCTAATAATAAACCTATATACACAAACAGGTCCAGACTGACATGCCTAGGACATCACGAGGAAACCAAAGTGATGTATTATCACTGATCGATGTCATAATCTATACACGGTCATATCATCCCAGCATTATATTTCTTATTACCTGCGAGACTCGTCATATCACCATAATGAGTTATCCATCAATAAATAAACTAAAAGGTATNTATTAAAATAAATCAGGTGAATTATTGGTATGATGTTATTGGTGTATGATGTAATTGGTATGGTCTTTTTGGTATGTGACGTAATTGGTATGATGTAATTGGTATGTGACGTTATTGGNCTGAGCTAAAGGGAAATTCCCCCTAGTTCGAAGCTAGAAGGCAACCTTAATCCTATGTACAATTGAACCCTGCCACACTAAAATAAATCAGGTGAATTATTGGTATGATGTAATTGGTGTATAACGTAATTGGTATGATGTAATTGGTATGGTCTTATTGGTATGTGACGTTATTGGTATCATGTAATTGTTGTGTGACGTAATTGGTATGATGTAATTGGTGTGTGACGTAATTGATATGATGTAATTGGTGTGTGACGTAATTGATATGATGTAATTGGTGTGTGACGTGATTGGTATGATGTAATTGGTGTGTGACGTAATTGGTATGATGTAGTTGGTATGCGACGTTATTTGTATGATGTAATTGGTATGCGACGTTATTGGTTTGATGTAATTGGTGTGTGCCGTAATTGATATGATGTAATTGGTGTGTGGCGTTAGTGGTATGATGTAATTGGTGTGTGATGTAATTGGTATGAGACGTTATTGGTTTGATGTAATTGGGGTGTGACGTGGTTGGTATGATGTAATAATATATGGTTGGTATGTTGTAGTTTGTATAATGTTTGGTGTAGTTAGTATATTGTGATTGGTATAATGTATGGTGTAGTTAGTATATTGTGATTGGTATAATGTATGTTGTAGTTGGTATATTGTAATTGGTATACTGTGTGGTATAGTTGGTATGTTGTAATTGGTATGTTGTAATTGGTATGTTGTAATTGGTATAATGTTTGGTATAGTTGGTAAGTTGTAATTGGTATAATGTTTGGTGTAGTTGGTATGTATGGTTACGGTGGTATGTATGGGTAATTGGTGTGTGATGTAATTGATATGATGTAATTGGGGTGTGACGTAATTGGTATGGCCTTATTGGTATGTGACTTTATTAGTATGATGTAATTGGTATGCGACATTATTGGTTTGATGTAATTGGTGTGTGATGTAATTGGTATGCGACGATATTGGTTTGATGTAATTGGTGTGTGACGTAATTGGTATGATGTAATTGGTGTGTGACGTTATTGGTATGATGTAATTAGTGTGTGACGTAATTGGTATGATGTAATAATATATGGTTGGTATGTTGTAGTTTGTATAATGTTTGGTGTAGTTAGTATATTGTAATTGGTATAATGTATGGTGTAGTTAGTATATTGTAATTGGTATAATGTATGTTGTAGTTGGTATATTGTAATAGGTATATATGATGTATGGTTGGTATGTTGTAGTTGGTATGTTTTAATTGGTTTACTGTATGGTGTAGTTGGTATGTTGTAATTGGTATAATGTGTGGTGTAGTTGGTATGTTGTAATTGGTAAAATGTGTGGTGTTGTTGGTATATTGTAATTGGTATACTGTGTGGTATAGTTGGTATGTTGTAATTGGTATAATGTGTGGTGTAGTTGGTATTTTGTAATTGGTATAATGTGTGATGTAATTGATATGTTGTAATTGGTATAATGTGTGGTATAGTTGGTATGTTGTAATTGGTATGTTGTAATTGGTATAATGTTTGGTATAGTTGGTAAGTTGTAATTGGTATAATGTTTGGTGTAGTTGGTATGTTGTAATTGGTATAATGTGTGGTGTAGTTGGTATGCTGTAATTGGTATAACGTGTGGTGTAGTTGGTATGTTGTAATTGGTATAATGTGTGGTGTAGTTGGTATGTATGGTTTGGGTGGTGTAGTTGGTGTGTATGGTTTGGGATAATGTGTGGTGTAGTTGATATGTATGGTTTGGTATAATGTGTGATGTAGGTGGTATGTATGGTTTGGGCGGTATGTATGGTTTGGGTGGTATGTATGATGTAGTTGGTATGTATGGTTTGGGTGGTATAATGTGTGGTGTAGGTGGTATGTATGGTTTGGGTGGGATGTATGGTTTGGGTGGTATGTATGGTTTGGGTGGGATGTATGGTTTGGGTGGTATGTATGGTTTGGGTGGGATGTATGGTTTGGGTGGTATGTATGGTTTGGGTGGGATGTATGGTTTGGGTGGTATGTATGGTTTGGGTGGTATGTATGGTTTGGGTGGTGTAGTTGGTGTGTATGGTTTGGTATAATGTGTGGTGTAGTTGATATGTATGGTTTGGTATAATGTGTGATGTAGTTGGTATGTATGGTTTGGGCGGTATGTATGGTTTGGGTGGTATGTATGGTGTAGTTGGTATGTATGGTTTGGGTGGTATGTATGGTTTGGGTGGTATGTATGATTTGGGTGGTGTAGTTGGTATGTATGGTTTGGGTGGTATGTATGGTTTAGGTGGTATGTATGGTTTGGGTGGAATGTATAGTTTGGGTGGTATGTATGGTTTGGGTGGTATAGTTGGTATGTATGGTTACGGTGGTATGTATTGTTACGGTGGTATGCATGGTTACGGTGGTATGTATTGTTACGGTGGTATGTATTGTTACGGTGGTATGTATGGTTACGGTGGTATGTATGGTTACGGTGAAATGTATGGTTACGTTGGTATGTATGGTTACGGTGGTATGTATTGTTACGGTGGTATGTATTGTTACGGTGGTATGTATGGTTACGGTGGTATGTATGGTTACGGTGGTATGTATTGTTACGGTGGTATGTATGGTTACGGTGGTATGTATGGTTACGGTGGTATGTATGGTTACGGTGGTATGTATGGTTACGGTGGTATGTATGGTTACGGTGGTATGTAT